TTGGATCAGGGTCACAGTTCAATGGCATTTTTGTTTTGAACATCCAACAAAACAAAAAAAGTCATTGGTTTCACTATAAAATCAGACAAAGTAAAATGGAAGAAAGAAAAATGGGAATGGTAGGCAAGTATCTTTGAACAGACATGAACCAGGCTTTAAAGTTAACCTACTGGATAGTTACAACAGGGTTAGAGTTAGTTCATGTACAAATTGTGGCATGCTACTAAGACACTTCTAGGAGGTCAAAATCTCAGCACAGACTTTGCAACAGAAAGACATAACAAATATCCTTTTTCACAAACTTTAAAGAAAGTTATACTTACCATTGTGCATGAACCGAGATGAGCCTTCAACCCTGATATGCTCGTATAATTTGAACCACAATCCTAAAGAAAAATTAGCTGTTAAACGTAATTACAAATGTCAGTTTGAACATTTCAGTTTCATATGCAGAAAATTAAGGCATTCTGCCTTAGGTTGACAAAAGAATTGCTCAGAAGTACACATTTGAAATAAAGATAATATGTCAGACTGCAAGGAATTACAGATTGATGGATGAAGCATAACACAGCATTTTTATATGCTCTCATCACTGACTTTGATTTCAGCTCCTTTCTGGTGAACAATTACTCTCACATGTTAATGAGGTTGTAAATTTGATCTGGTAGCTGCGGTGGTGTATTATCTACAAAATGTAACACAGTTGTACATTCATACATCTTTTCACAACACCTTCAAAAGCCTCATCCTCTGCCACCTTGAAGAACAAGGTAAGCTGACACATAGAAATATTGTTCTACGGGTATGCCAGCTTACTATGCTGTGATGGTAGCAACCTTCAACAGTAGAAACTATCACCCTCTAAGTGCAGGAGACTGCTCAGCCTGCTTGACCCAAATGCAAACATGTGCCTTCCTGCGCACAAATCCATGCTGACAATCCCTAATCAGGCCGTGACCATCCAACCACCAATAAGAAAAGATACAAGTGGCTACTATATTTACCTTATTTGGACACTGTACTCTCTTATAAGTTTTCATTTCATCCTTCCACTTGCGGAGCACTTCATTACTAAATGTAGGTAAGCCTGGCCGTGTGTACTTTAGCTGAAGAAAACAAAATGACAATATTCACTATTTCACATATTATCAAATATAGGATGTCGATCTGACAAAAACAAATTACGAATAGTTTTAGAAAAATCTTTTGTTGAAAAGACTGTTTCCTGAAGATAAGAAGCAACTGGTTAGCATATACCATTTTACCTTTCAAACCGAGAATTCAATTCAGTCAAACTTGATTTGATCAATACATCCTTTCATGTAGAGTAGAACTCCTTGCTGAACTGTGCTTACACAGTCTAAAGTTGGTGGACATACCCATTTAGATATTGTCTTGCATTGGATCACTGGGACAATGACCCTAATCTATTTCAATCTCTTTGATTCCAGCCTAGATAGTGCCGTAACTTGAACATTTTCCTCAAGTGCTTTGCCAGGTCTTCTTTGACTAGAGCAGTTTCTTTCCCCATTGTACAGTGTCTCATATGAAATGTGCATCCTCCTAGCCTCAGTTGTCTCTCCATCACAACGTCCCCCATGTGCCTCTAACCAGTCTTCTTCATCACTGTGATGCTGTGTCATCAACCGACATACAGGACCTTAAACAGGCAATGCTGGTGAAAGAGGTCCTTCTGATACGACATCTTCGCAGCTCTCTCTTATGACTTGTATGTAGTAGTACCACCTGCAATCTATGCATGTAGCGTGGAAGCTTCATGGCTATATTGATTGCGTTAGGTGTGACAAACGAAAAATCGATGTTCCTGTACTAATTTTTGAGTGGACAACAATCTGTACATCACTGTCTCTAGAGCTGTTACTTCCTAAGTACGGCAAGTGATCAATGTTCTTGATTTTTTTTTAAACCAGATGGTGGTGGAAGAGTCGTGTTGCTGTCAAGTTATCATTGCCTTGTAGCTGATTAGTAGACCAACCATGGTGCTACTAAGCTCAAGACTGATGGTCATGTCTTGGAGCACTGATTCTCCATGGTAATGTCATTTGTAAAATCTAGCTGTCAAGCAGCGGTATTATCATGTGATGTTAAAGTCTGTACCCACCAGCACCTTCAAGATGAAAACAATAGCCAAAAGGAGAAGGAATGGAGAGAGGATACAACCTTGTTGTTCTTATCTGAAGATGTTGAAGCGCCCAAGGTACCTACACTTATGCAGCAGCTGGAGTTGCAGTACAAGGCTCTGTGAATGTTAAAATCCTGCTCTGGGACATTGAGTAACTGCTGCAGACTCTACTTAAGAACTTCTTAAAATCAATGAAGTTGGTAAGTTGCTTTTGACATGCTAAGCTCTGCTTGATGATGTTCCTGACAAAAAAAAGATTTGATTGCAACATGATCGGCGACCTCAGAAAACTGCCTGTTCCTTACTAAGCATTCTGTGTATTTCTGCTTTCAATCCACAGAGGATCAATGCAAAAGCCAGTCCCAAGCCTACTTTAAAGAGGAGGAAGGTGTGCAGCTAACACCCTCACCCCTGTAAAACCCACCACTGCTGCAGGAACAGCAAGCAGCCATCATATTTGCAAACGAAAGCTAAGATGGCATATTTGAAGACACACACAGGAGTGTTTTGTCTTTCTTTTTATATTCTGTCAATCATCTAGCTTGCCATCTGCCTTTGCATAATTAATTGCTTTTTCTTTTAGACTGATACTATCCTTAGCATCTCTCATTAATCACGAGCAGTGGGTCTACCCCTTTGAATTTTTCTTGTCTGTTGAAATGTGTTTCTTTTGTGTATTCTGAAAAACCCTTAAATGTTTGCCACTGTATTGTAATTGGCCAATCATTTAGCTTAACTGTCAATTCATTTTAGCCAGCTCTGCTTTAATGCCTTAATCATCATTTTCTTTAAGTTTTAAAGGCTATAATCGTGGACTCATTCCTGTCTCCCTCAAATTAAATGCAAAATTCAATTATATTATGGTCACTGCTACCTAGAGGCATCTTCACAATGAGATCATTAATTAGTTTCATTTTGTTGCACAATACCAGGTCCTGTAATAACCTGCTCTCTGCGTGGCTTCAGAACATGCCATTCTAAAAATCTATCCTGACAACATTCTGCAAACTCATCTGGGTGACAGTTGCCCATTTGACTTTCAGCATTTGCACAGATTAAAACCACTCCTGATTTTCGCCATGCATCTGACAAGCTCTCATCATTTCTTCCTTTATGCCGCACCCAACCCTGCAGCTACTGTTAACACACTGGGACACTATTCTCACACGTGATTTCTTGTCTTTTTAATTTCTCATTTCTATATTCTTTGCAAAGTTTAGTCTTATTTATTTGGTTGTCTTTTACATTGACAGCCTCTGACATGGTACGTATATAATTTCTCTTATAAACACGTTTTACTTTGTCCCTGACTCTACTTTCATTTATCACGTCTTCCCAATTTAATCCCTTGCCCCCACTTTTTAGTTTAAAATTCTCTCTACTTCCCTAGCTATGTGGTCAACAAGAACACAGTTCCAATATGGTTCAGGTGGAGACTATCCCATCAGCACAGATCCCACTTTCCTCAATACTGCTGCCAGTGCCCCAAGAACTTGAATCCAGTTCACCCAGTCTTCAAGTCATGCATTCTTCTCTCTCAATTTGCACGTAGCTTAGGCAGTTCACAACAATCACGACCTTTGAGGCTCTGCTTCTTAATTTGGCACTTAGATCCTCATACTGACTATGCAGAACCTCCTTTGCCTGCATGTGTTTACTGGCAGCTACATGGCGCACAAGGTGAAGATTTTCCCCCCACTACCCCGCTGTAGATTCGACTAGAATTTGGTGTCATCCAGACAAGTTCAAATAATCTCAAACCTATTGGGCAATACTGTCACCTCACTTTCAAGCACAATGTAAAATTCCATCATATTATGGTCACTCAGTTAAAAAGCTCACTTACAACAAGAGTATTAATTAGCCCTTTCTCAATACTAGATCAAAAATTGCCCGTTCTGTATTCGGGTCTCCCCAAAAACTGGTCATAATGCCTCAGATAGCTACAACAATTCTCCGGCCACATGTTCAATTGATCAAACCTTCTATTCCTATGCTCACTAACATGTGACACTTCCAGATCACTATGCAATGTTTTTCTCACCTTGTCATCATCTGGTACCAGGTCCCGTTGGATTTTCCTCTTGGGCCATTCTCGAGCAAGTTCATCTGCTACTATTTCGTGCAGGTGGTAAGCAGCCAGCTTCGCAGAGCTTCTCTGCACTCTTCCGCTGGATGTTCTCTCTACTTCTGGTTCACTTTCTTTTTCAGCAGCTTCATCATCTGTAATTTCTGGTGACTAGTGAACAAATGCATAGAATTAGTTGACCAAACATTTTGGTTCTGAAATCTTAATGGCTGTTTATGCATGCATTTTATACAGATGTTGAAAGTTAAACAATTGTACTATGAATAGCCACTAGCATCTAGATTGATCCCTCTGCTAGGGAGACAACAATAATTGGATTTGGCTTCAATAACTCTGTGAATCCTGCACATTTGGAGGGAGTTTGAAGGGACAACTCGGACTAAAGTTCAGCATTTGCCCCTTCAGACAGTCAAGCTAAAACTAGGAACATTCTGTGCTATTGCACACAGTGTTAATGTGCCAATGATAACAAAGTGTGGAGCTGGAGGAACAGTGATTTATCTCAGTGGTTTATAACCCTACTGTGAAGCCGCTCCACACTTTGTTATCTCTGACTCCAGCATCTGCAGTTCTTGCTATATCAATGTGCCAATGCTGTGTTTTGTTATAAATCCATTTAATGAAGCTTTGCAAACGTAAAGTCAAATAGGCAGAAGGGTAAAAAATTCTCAATGTGTAGCATCAATCAGTTGATACGCAACTGAAATAAGGCCAACTATTCAAACAGCTTTCACATAGAGTGGTTTGGGGCTGAAATGCACTGCCCGAGTTAGTGGAGCCAGTTTCAATTGAGGTATTCAAAAGGGAACTGGAGGGAATTTTTCAAGAAAGGGAAGAATATGTAGGATTAGGGCATGAAGGCAGGAGAATGGCACAAGGCAAGATGCTCACTTGGACAGCCAGCACAGACGTAATGGGCTTAATGGCCTTATGAGCTGTAACAATTCTAAGACTCCACGATATATGAACATACCGGGGCATGCTCTGATTTCAAATGATAATCCAGGCCTGCCTTTGACTTGTACAACTTTCCACAGTGTTGGCATTTATACAATTGTTTTATTAACTCGGATTCTTCCTTGCCACACTTCTTCAGGTGATAAAGGTAACCCATTATACTAGTGAAGCTGGCACCACAGTCCTGAATGAAGATCAGAAAGATTCACAGTTAGCAATTAATAGAACAGAGTGCACAGAAAAAGCAATGTGACTGTGTAAAGAAACATGTCAGAGGAGACTGGGAAACAGCTCAGCCATAGCTCTCCCGGAGTAATTTCTGATGCACTCAATACATCAAAAGAACAATTACATAATCACATTTTTGTTAAGACCTGTGTTTAGTCTTTAATCAATTTCAAACAAAATGAGCATCACAAACTGATTTTTTTTTTAAAATTGCAAACACAAAATAGAGAGGGGAAGAAAAAAAAGTTACATGATGGGCATCCCGCCTAGTGACATCTACTGTCTACAGAGTCATACAGCATGGAAACAGACCCTGCAGTCCAACCAGTCCATGTCAGACATAATCCCAAACTAAAAACACAGTCTCACCTGTCGTCTCCTGGCCCATAACCCTCCAAATCTTTCCTATTCATATATCCATCCAAATGTCTTTTAAACATTGTAATTGTACCCGCATCAACCACTTCATCAGGAAAGTTCATTCCTCACACGAACCACCCTCCATGTAAAATATTTGCCTCATGTCTTTTTTAAATCTCTCTCCTTAAAAATATGCCTCCCAGTCTTGAAATTCCCCATCTTAGGGATAAGACAACTACCAGCAACTCTATCTATACCTCATTAGTTTATAAACTTCTGTCAGATCAGGTCGACTCTCAAGCTCCTATGCTCCAGTCTTTCATTATGACTCAAACCTTCCATACCCAGCAACATCCTGGTAAATCTCTTTTGAACCCTTTCCAGCTTGATAATATCCTTCCTATAATTGGGCCACCAGAACTGGACACAGTATTCCAGAAGAGACCTCACCAATGTTCTGTACAACCTCAACAATGTCCCAACTCCTTTACTCAAAGGGCTGAACAATGAAGGCAAGTGTGCCAAACGCCTTTTTAACCATCCCGTCTATACGTGACACAAACTTTAAAAAATTATGTACCTGCACTCCTAGTTTCCTCTGTTCTACAACAGTACCCAAGGCCCTACCCTTGTTTGTTGTATCAAAATGCAATACCTCACATTTATCCAGATTGAACTGCATCTGTCATTTTTCAGCCCATTGACTCATTTGATCAAGATCCCTTTGTAATCTTAGAACACCTTCTTCACTGTCGACAATGCCACCAATGTTTGGGTCATCCACAAACTTACTAACCATACCTTCTATATTCTCATCCAAATCATATATATAAATGACAAACAAAAGAGGACCCAGAACCGATCCCTGTGGGACACCACTTGTCACATTCCTCCAGTCCAAAAAGCAATCCTCCACCATTACTGTCTCCTGCTTTTAATTTTTATTGATTAAAAGGTTCAATTGAACCAAAATGTCTATATTTTAAAAAAAAAATTCTCTTTTATTCTTGACTAGAACCTCAATATCTTTATTCATCCATTGTTCCTTAATCTTACCAGCTTTACCTTTCACTAACAGGAACAAAATGCCTCTGAACTCTAATCATCACACTCTTGAATGCCTCCCACTTGTCAGATGTCCTTTTACCTGTGAATAATGTACTCCAATCAACTTTTGAAAGTTCTTGTCTCATATCATTAAAATCTGCCTTACTCCAATTAAAATCTTTAGCTTTTATGGAAGGCTTATCGTTTTCCATAACCATTTTGAAACTAACAGAATTACGATCGCTAGGCGCAAAGTGCTCCCCCACTTTTAGTTCAGTTGCCTGCCCTGCCTTATTGCCCAAAAGAAGGTCTAGTTTTACTAGTTTTGATACAAAGAATTTGAGAGCATATTTGACAAATTCTTCATTATCCAAACCTTTAACACTATGGTAGTCCCAGCCAATATTTGGAAAATTAAAATCCTTCATTATTACAACCTTATTATGCTTACGTACATCTGACATCTCCCGACATATTTGTTTCTCAATGTCTCTTACTATTTTGGTGGTGGTGGTGTGGGGGGGGGGGGGGGGGGTTTGGGTTTTTTGGGTTGTGCGTGTGTATATAGTACAATGTACAATCCCAAAATGTGATCTTTCCTTTCTTATTTGTAATTTCTTCCCTAGTTACAGCAACAGTGTATTCCTTATATCAAGAACACCAGCCTCCTCCCAGTTTCTTGCCTTTTTCTATCCTTCCTATAGCTTCTAAAACTGGGAACATTGAGCTACCAGTCTTGTCCATCTCTCAGCCTAGTTTCCGTAATAGCTATGATGTCCTAATTCCATGTTCTTAAACATGCTCCAAGTCCATCAGCCTTACCTCTACGACCCCTTGCATTGAAATAAATGCAATTTAGTTCTCCAGTTATTACATACTCTGACTCTCTCGTCTTTCTTTTCTATTTAATGTGCTCTCCGCACATTCAGAACCTACCCCATCAATCCATCCATTTACACTGCTACTTAGAATTCCTCCACTCATATTCTTTATCAGTATAAAGTCTCTCTTAATAGAATGAGCATATATCTCTGCTAAACATTGGTCTCTTTCCAGTTTTAGGTTTTTTCTATCCCAAAAGATATTCCAATTGTCCAAAAAAATAATATCCCTGAACAACACACCAGCTCTTCAGCCATTGATTTATCTCCTTCAACCTTTTGTTCCTTCCCTCGTTTGAGTTTGACATTGGGAGTAAACCAGAAATTAATACTTTTAAAGGTTTTATTTTTTAAACCTACCTAGCCTCTTAAATTCCCTCTGTACTGCTTTAATCTTTTCCCTAAAAATGTCATTCCTACCAATGTGTACAACAATTTCTGGCTTCTCAATTTTACTTTTAACAATATACTTGAAACATTGAGAAACGTCCTTAATCCTAGCACCAGGAAAGCAACAAACTGTCCTAAATTCACACACTCTGCCACAGAATTGCCTGTCTATGCCCCCGACAGGAGAGTCACCCATAACAATAATTCTATTAAGTCTTGTCAAACGCTGCCTAACATAAGAATCATTCTAAGTGTCCACTAACTGACTGGTCCTTCCATTTTCATTGAGAGACTATCCCCTTCAACTGAACCAAAACTGAATATCTATTTGATGAAGGAATAGTCACCAGAGACTTTTGAACTACCTCCTTACCTTTCCGGTCAGGCACCCATCTATCTGACTGATCCTGCTAGGTAACAACTTTTCTAAATCTACTAGCCATCTCAGTCTGTACCTTATACGTGGCTTTAGTAGCAATAGGCCTAAAAAAACAATGTTTCAATAACACCTTATATATAAAATAGACTATCGTTCATTACTTACAGAAAATAATGCTGAAATGGAAAAAATTAAAAATATATATATCAAACATGTAAAAACTAAATAAAAAAAATCAACCACTCAGCTGATTAGCTGAATAAAAATGATTCCTCTTCAATAAACTGCTCAAAAGAAAAAAAAACTTCTCTGGAACAAAAACAGAGGTCCTTATTTTTAAAAAAAAAACTACATTTTTTTCAAAAAAAACATATGCAATGCAAAAAAAGTCTAATTAAGAACAATAAAACCTTAGCCATTCACTGTAGACACTTCTAAAAAAAAATTTTTAAGAAGTTCGTTTGAAAAAACCTCAGATAGTAAGAACTGCCGATACTGGAGTCAGAGATAACCCCCTCCCCACAATAAAAACAAAGACAGAATCCCCCTTGTCCTCACGTATTGCCCCACTAACCTCCGGATTCAATGCATAATTCTTCACCACTTCTGCCACCTGCAATCTGACCCAAACCAAGGATATATTTCCCTGCCCACCCTTATCTGTTTTCCGTAAGAACCGCTCTCTCCACGACTCCTTCGTCCGCTCCACATCCCCACTAGCCCCACCACCTCCAGCACCTTTCCCTGCAACCGCAGGAAGTGCTACACCTGCCCCTACACCTCCCGCCTCACCTCCATCCAAGGAGCCAAAAAAACCTTCCATATCAGACAGACGTTTACCTGCACATTAGCTAATGTGGTCTCCTCTACATTGGTGAGACCAAGTGGAGGCTTGGAGACCGCTTTGTAGAGCACCCGTGCTCGGTTCGCAACAAACGACAACACATTGCAGTCGCGAACCACTTCAACTCCCCCTCCCATTCCCTGGACGGCATGTCCATCCTGGGCCTCTTCCAGTGTCACACCACCACCACCACCCGGAAACTGGAGGAGCACCACCTCATATTCCACCTTGGGAGCCTACAACACAATGGTCTCAATGTGGACTTTACTAGCTTCAAAATCGCCCCACCCCTGGCCTCATCCCATGACCAACCCTCCCTCTCATCCCTGCCTCCTTGACCTGTCAATCTTCCCCCCCCCCATCTATCCGCCCCTCCCACCTCACTCACCAATCCCCACCACTGCCTAAATGCACTCATCTATCACCATCCCACCTATCTTCCCCAGCCCCACCCCTCCTCTCTATTTATTTCAGAGCTCCCTTCCCCCTTCCCCGTTTCTGAAGAAGGGTCCAGACCCGAAACGTCAGCTTTCCTGCTCTTCTGATGCTGCCTGACCTGCTGTGTTCCTCCAGCTCCACACTTATCTTCGTTTGAAAAAAAGTCACTGCTTTTTTTGTTTTATTTGAATGTTAATAAAACAAAATGGAAAAAAAATCTTATATTTGTAAACTATAATGACTATAATAACTAAAAAAAAACACAAACTATAATAATTCTTTAACTAAGCCTGCAATCCCAAGAGCAGCTGCAAGATCCATGCTGCTCCTTGTAACACCCCACCACCTTTACTGAGAGAGAGCTCTGGAGCAAAGCAACCATGTCCCAGCTCTTCCAGTTCACCAGTTACAGAGCTGAAATTGCAGACAGCCAATGCATACTGAGCAAGGAACATGCACTTAAATGCACATCCTTACACATCCTATATTTTCTGATTTCACTGTAAAAGAAAAATGATACTGGGGGTTGAGGCACATTAATAGATAGTGGTTCACTACCTCTTATAAACACTGCAAACATGGCAGCCTTAAACTAGAGGACAGTCAACACATACCAACACACCACAAGATTAATGGTTCCTCTTCAAATAATACACTTAATATTCTGTACGGAAAGCCGACTTTTAAAAATTGCTCAAATACTCAAGTATAAAGATACATGCTCTAGTATAAAATAAGATCACTGCAAAATTGAACTACTATTTCAATATTTCTCATGTACTTAAAGAAATAAATCAGTTCAAACATTTTAAATTAAAAAAAGTTTACTTTAAAAAGGCAGTAGTAATTGTATTCAATATTTTCTGCTCCTACCTGACGGAGACACTTCAGTCTGCCCATTCTCCTCAACACCTTTCGAAGTCTGTCTCTCTCAGACTGTTCATCAACTACATCCCCATCTTTCAAAATTGGCTGAAAAAGATACAAATATCGAAAGTTTTACAATGCCAGAATAACACCAATGTGTACTTTGTCAACACCAAACAAATAGCAATGGTCAAGTCCTGAATTCACACGGTTCCTGTTCTCAATTCCGAAAACAGATTAAAATAAATTATATCCGATTTACAGTTAGTAATCTGAGAGACTTGAATTCAAGGGATATAGTGCTGTAGAACAGCACAATAGGCTTTTGACTGGATCTGAAATTGCCTTCTGGAAGTATGAATTTTGAACTCATGTCAGAGACCAAAGACTAGAAAAATGATCCTTTCCTCACAACTGATGACCCAGACACTGACTCAAACTCTATATGCTGCCTTTGTAAAAATCATCAGGACCAATTTTGAATTTTTCCCATTCACATTTTATACATAGACAATTTAAATAAGAACCTTAGATGATATTGACAAAATGATGAGAGAGGAACATAGAGACATGGATCATACCACCATAAAGATGCTCACGCCATCTACACATGTTCTTTCTGTATGAATGCCAAGTGCCAAACTAAACGGTCTGAAATGGAGATAGTAGGAAGTGCAGATGCTGGAGAATCTGAGACAACAAGGTGCAGGGCTGGATGAACACAGCAGGCCAAGCAGCATCATAGGAGCAGAGAGGCTGACGTTTCGGGCCTAGACCCTTCATCAGAAAAGGGGGAGGGGAAGGGGGTTCCGAAATAAATAGGGAGAGAGTGGGAGGCGGATAGAAGAGGGATAGAGGAGAGGAAACAAACAGGTCGAAGAGGCGGGGATGGAGCCAGTAAAGGTGAGTGTAGGTAGGGAGTTAGGAAGGGGATAGGTCAGTCCAGGGAGGACGGACAGGTCAAGGGGGCGGGATGAGGTTGGTCGGTAGGAGATGGAGGTGCGGCTTGAGGTGGGAGGAGGGGATAGGTGGGAGGAAGAACAGGTTAGGGAGGCAGGGACGAGCTGGACTGGTTTTGGGATGCGGTAGGGGGAGGGGAGATTTTGAAACTTGTGAAGTCCACATTGATACCATTGGGCTGCAGGGTTCCCAAGCGGAATATGAGTTGCTGTTCCTGCAACCTTCGGGTGGCATCGTTGTGGCACTGCAGGAGGCCCAGGATGGACATGTCGTCTGAGGAATGGGAGGGGGAGTTGAAATGGTTCGCGACTGGGAGGTGCAGTTGTTTATTGCGAACTGAGCGTAGGTGTTCTGCAAAGCGGTCCCAAATGGGTAGATGTCAGGTCACAACAGATAGGTCAACTAGCTTCACTCTGGGCAAAGTTCAGGAGTTCTCAAATCTAATAGACAGAACACCATTATTTATTTTACATGAAAAAGGATGTTAAAACAAGCTCAGGACCAGTACCTATCACTTGATTAAGATTCAGAATAAGCATGCTATTTGGTATTTGACTGAGTTTGCTGTCCAGAAAGCCCACCACTGTATCTCAAACCTAACCTAAGAACATAGGTTTAACACAGGAATATACGACTAAAACGAAACATTTGAATTCAGTCATGAGTTACGATAGCAAAGAACAGTCAAAGCTTTACTTAGATTACCATGTTGTTATGGTCTGCCATTAAATGGTACTTGAGTCCAGCTAGAGACTTCAATTGTTTCCCACAGTGTTGGCAAACAAAGGGTTCCTAAAAGAAAAAGCGCAACCTTTAGAAACCGCAATATCAAAATGTTGTTGTGAGCTTAATCTATTATAAAGAATGTAGATATGATTGGTCAATTTGAAACAAAAATGCAACTGGCATTTCTAAGTTTTCACTTTAAAAGAAAAGTCTGTTACACTGTCATGAACTACAACATCTTTCAAATATAGATAACAAGGTGTGGAGCTGGATGAACACAGCAGGCCAGGCAGCATCAAGGAGCAGGAAAGCTGACGTTTCGGGTCTGGACCCTTCTTATCTTTCAAATATTAGGTACTGTATATTGCCAAGATATCCAGAACTCAAAATTAAGTTTTTCTACACCATGGAGCCATCAGTCAATCATCCATGCAACACTCCCTGCTGCTCATTTGGTTACATGTCTGACATCATTAGCGTCAGTAGTTTGACAGTTGTCCAGGTTCTTGCATGCTGTGCAGCAGCAGAAAATAGTGGATGGTGATAAGATTGTATTTCTAAAGGATTGTAGAGAAGATGGGCGTCAATTATGACTTAATGGCAGTATTCTCACACCCTGAATGCTAAATTATGTGTTCAACTCCACCCCTCTGATGTCAGCCCATTGTTCAAGTTGACACTTCAGTCCAGTACTGATGGAATACTATCATTTGGACAACACTCATATTTACCATTTAAGTGCATTTAACATAAATGTCCTAACATGTTTAAGAGGAATAACAAATCAGAATAGGTTATTGGATATAGAGGCACATACAGACAGATGACCAAAGGCTTGTTCAAAGATAGGAGAATGCAAGGCAGAAAGATAATTGGTGTAATGAGATAATTCTGCTACTCAGGACCTAAGTAACTACAATACAATGCCAACTTCACTTTGTTGTTACCACCAAATCCATAATTTGCAAATAAACTGCCTGCCGCAGTTGCACGGAGTCACAACCCTACCATGCAATTACTTGGATTTAAGTTAATCAATCCAGTTTACAGCAGGACATGCCAACTTAATTTCACTCCGTCTGGGAGATCTTATATCATGAAATTAATAGGCACCTCTTTGCAGTTTGCCATATGTTTTTTCAATCCTTCTACTGTCTTCCTCATGACAGCCTTACAAGTGGGGCATGTAATCTTTCCTTTTTCCAGAATTTCCAGACACCAGTGCTCCTCCAGACTTCCTGCAAATGAAATGTGATTAGTTAAAGCTCAGAATAATTCATGTGCAAATTTTATACCTTTTAAATTAAAACTGATTTCAGAAGAGTTAACATTTTAAGTCTCCCCCTCATTTCACTTCCTTAGGAACGCAGAGTCAAATGCAGATGACAGATATCTTTTTTTTTTAAAAAGCCATTGTCAGATCAAGATACTACTGAATTCTGTTCATCTGTCAATACTTTTCATTATTCCCTCATCAAAAAAATAAACACTGGGTTTCTTTTCTCTACTGGACATTTTCTTAAAAACTCAACTCCAACAAATGTGAAAGAGTGAATGGACTTTTTAAACGCATAAGGCTTAAATTACTTGGTTGAGTGAAGGGCAGGACTAGCAGCTCAGCATTCCAGAGTTTAGATATTGCACGTGATAAAGAGGAATGTAAAAGGGGTTGGGAAGATGCATTACCGATTAAGGGGAATGTCACAGCTGTACTAAGAAGGACACCTTGGAGGGCTCTTCCAGCAAGGCTATAAGGGTAGAACTTAGAAATAAGAAACGTGCAATCACTGTGATGGGTTTATACTATAGGCTGCCCACGGAAGAACAAATATGTAAACAGATGACAGAACATAGAACTGTACAGCACAGGAAAGGGCCCTATGGCCCACAATATTGTGCAGAACAAGACACCAAACGTAACTAATCCCTCTGCCTGCCCTTGGTCCATATCCCTCCATTCCTTGAATATTCATGTGCTTATCTAACAGTCCCTTAAATGTCCTTATTGTATTTGCCTCCACCATCACCCCAGCAACGCGGTCAAGACTGCTACCACTCTTTGGGGTAAGAAAACCTGCCCCCCACATCTCCTTTGAACTTTCCCCCTCTAACCTTAAATGCATGCCCCCTAGTGTCAGACATTTCAACTCTGGGAAAAAGATTTGACTGTCAACCCTATCTATGCATCTCAAATTTTACAGACTTCCATCAAATCTCCCCTCAGCCTCCACAGCTCCAGAGAAAACAAGCCAAGTTTTTCTAGCCTCTCCTTATAGCTCATACCCTCTAATCCAGGCAGCATCCTGGTAAACCTCTTCTGCACCCTCTCCAAAGCCTCCACATCCTACCTGTGATGTGGCACCCAGAATTGAACACAATACTCTTAAGTGTAGCCTAACCAAAGTCTTATAAAGCTGCAACATGACACCCTGATTGTTGTATTCAATTCCCCAACCAATAAAGAGAAGCAGGCCATATGCCTTCTTTACCACGCTATCTACTTGCGCGGCCACATTCAAGGAGCTATGGACTCAAACCCCAAAATCCTTCTGTACATCAATGCTGTTCAGAGTCCTGCCATTAACTGCATACTTTTCCTTAACATTTGATCCCCCAAAATGCAGCACCTCACACTTACCCAGATTAAAGTCCATCTGCCATTTCTCTGCCCATATCTGCAACTGATCTATATCCCGCTGTATCCTTTGACAACCTTCTACATTATTCACAACTCCATCAATCTTTGCATCATCTGCAAACTTACCAACCCACCCATCTACATTTTCATCCCAGTCATCTACATATATCGCAAACAACAGAGGTCCCAGAATGGATCTCTGCGGAACACCACCAGTCACAGACCTCCAGCCCGAAAACACCCTTCCTCCACTACTCTGTCTTCTACGGGGAAGCCAATTCTGTATCGACGCAGCCAAGACACCGTGGATCCCATGCATCTTAATCTTCTGGATGAGCCTAGCATGAGGGACTTTTGTTGAAAGCCTTACTAAAATCCACGTAAACATCGTCCACTGCTCTATCCTCAATCACCTTCATTACCTTCTCGAAAAATTCAATCAAGTTAATAAAACATGACCAGCCCTGCACAAAGCCATGCTGACTGTCACTAATTAGGCCATGATTTTCCAGATGTGTGTATATCCTATCCCTAAGAATTCTCTCCAATAGCTTCCCAACCACCGTTGAGAGACTCACCGGTCTGTAGTTTCCTGGATCATCCCTATTTCCATCCCTATGAGGGAAAGATGTAAAAACAGCAGGGTTGTTGTAATGGTGATTTTAATTTCCCCCATATTCACTGGTATATTGGGACTCCCTTAGCGCGAGGTGCCTAGACGATGCAGAATTTATTAGGTGTATCCAGGAACCATTCTTGTAACAATATGTAGATAGTCCAACTAGGGAAAAGATCATACTAAACCTTGTATTGGGAAATAGGCCTGGTCAGGTGATTGAAGTTTCAGTGGGGAGAATTTTGGGAACAGTGATCATAATTCCAAAAGTTTTAAGATAGCTATCGATAAGGATTAGACTGCTCCTCAGATGAAAATGTGAAACAGGGGGAAGGCTGGGGGCAGCTGCTTGAAGGTAAATCCACATCTGACATGTGGTAACCTTTCAAAAGCCAGTTGACTAGAGGTCAGGACCTGTGAGGATGAAAAATAAGAATTGCAAGATTCAGGAACCTTGGATGATGAGAGATGTTGCAAGTTTAATTAAAAAGAAAAAGGAAACATATCTAAGGTTTAGCAAACTGAAATCAAACAAGGCCCTTGAGGAGTACAAGGGAAACAAAAAAGAACTTCAAGAAATTAGGAAGGCTGGAAGGCGCCATGAAATGTCCTTGGCTAGTAGGATTAAGGAGACTACTAAACCATTTACCCTTTTATTAGGAACAAGAGAGTAGCTAGGGAAAGGGTAGGTCTACTCAAGGACAAAGGAGAGAATTTATGCTTGGAGCCAAAGGAATTGGGTGAGATCCTTGATGAATACTTTGCATCAGTATTCACTAAGGGGAGAGACACGGTACGTACAGAGAAAGGTCTGTTGATACTCTGAGGCATGTCCATGTTAAGGAAGAAAGAAGTGTTGGGTGTCCTGAAAAGCATTAAGGTAGTTAAGACCTTAGGACCTCATGGGATCTATCCCAGGAAACTGAAGGAGGCAAGGGAGGAGATTTCTGGAGCCTTGAGAGATCTTTGTATCCTTTCTAGCCACAAGCAAGGCCACATACGACTGGAGAATAGCCAATGTTGATCCTTTGTTCATGAAGGCAGACATAATCCAAGAAGTTATATGCCGGTGTGCTTTACATCAGTGGTAGGGAAATTATTGGAGATGATCTTTAGGAACAGGTTTTACTCACATTTGGAGAAGAATGGACTTATTACGGATAGTCAGCATGGCTTTATGCAGAGGTGGTCTTGTCTCAAGATTGATTGAGCCTTTTGAGGAAGTGATGAAGATGGTTGTTGAGGGTAAGGCAGTGGATGTTATCTATGTAAACTTTATTAAAGCATTTGACATGTTCCGTCACAGCAGGTTGGTCCAAAAGATCAAATCGCAAATTGGACATAAAATTGGCTTGTCCACAGAAGACACAGCGTAATTGAGGAGAGCTAGTTTTCTGACAAGAGATCTGTGACCAGTGGTGATCTGCAAGGATCAGTGCTGGGACTTCTGTTGTTTTGTAATATATATGAATGATTTGGATGAAAATGTCGGTGGTCTGGTTAGTAACCTACTGATGACCTAAAAATTGGTAGAGTTTTGGATAGTAAGGAAGGGTATCAAAGTATGCAACAGGATGTAGATTAGCTGGAAAGCAGCATGGAGAAATGGCAGAGGGAGTTTACTCCGAACAAGTGTGAGCTGATGCACTTTGGGAGGTCAAGTGCAAAAGGGAAGTATTCTGGAAATGGCCAGACCCTTAGGAGCATTAATATACAGAGGGATTTTGGGGTTCAAGTCCATAGCTCTCTGGATACAAGCAATACAAATGGATAAGGTGGTAAAGGCAGCATATGGCATGATTGCCTTCATTGATTAGGGCATCAGAGTATAAAAATGAGCAAATTACGTTGCAGCTGTATAAAACTAGTTAGGCGACATTTGGAGTACAGTGTACAGTTCAGATTGCTACACTATAAGAAAGATGTGGAGGCTTTGAAGAGAGTACAAGAGAAGTTTATCAGGATGTTCCTTGGATTGGAGTGTGTTAGCTAAAAGGAGAGTCAATACAGTGTGGAGCCGGAGGACCACAGCAGATTAGGCAGCATCAGAGGAGCAGGAAAGTCGCATTTTGGTTTTACACCCTTCATCAGGGCTGGGAAGGAGGAAGGGAGCTCGGAAATAAATGGGGGGGTGGGGCTGGGGGGGGGGGAAGGGAGGGGGGATAGTGATAGGTGGACGCAGGCAGGGGTAGTGTAGATTGGTCAGTGGTAAGGGTGGGGCGGATAGATGAGAAAGATGATGGACTGGTTCTTTCAGGTCAAGGAGGCAGGAATGAGAGGGAGGGTTGGACATGGGATGAGGGCATTTTGAAACTGGCGAATTTTATGCTGAGGCCATTGCGCTGTAAGCTCCCAAGGCGGAATAGGATGTGTTGTTTCTCCAATTTGCATGTGGCATCATTGTGACACTGGAGGCAGCCCAGGATGGACATGTCACCAAGGGAGTGGTGGTGGTGGGGTGGGGGGTGTCATGGGGAGGTGATGGCCTAGTGGTATTATCACTGGACTGTTAATCCAGAGATCCAGATAATGTTCTGGGCATCCAGGTTAGAATCCCACCATGGCAGATGGTGGAATTTGAATTCAATAAATATCTGGAATTAACAATTTAATGAAGACCGTGAATCCATTGTCAAATGTTGGAAAAACCCACCTGGTTCACCAACGTCCTTTAAGGAAGGAAACCGCCATCCTTACCTGGTCTGGCCTACATGTGACTCCAGACCCAGAGCACTGTGGTTGACTCTTAACTGCTCTCTGATCAATTACAGACGGGCAATAAATGCTGCCTAGCCAGCATCGCCCTCATTACGTGAATGAATAAAGAAAACAAAACAGTTGGCAACTGGAAGGTGTTGTTGATGACAGCTTAGAATGCAGCTGCTCTGCGAACCAGTCACAAACTCTGCTCTTGGTCTCACCGATGTAGAAATGACCACATCGAGAGCAATGGATACAGTAGACCAGGTTGGAGGACTTAGAGGTCTGTTGGATTTGGAAAGATTGTTTGGGGCCTTGGACGGAGGTGAGAGGGGACGTGCAAGGGCAGGTATAGCACCTCCTGTGGTTGCAGAGAAAGGTGCCCTGTATGGTCGAGTTGGTGGGGAGCACGGAGCGGACAAAGGAGTCACGGAGTGAGTGATCCCCATGAAAGGCAGGTAGGGGTGGGGAGGAAAATCTCTCTGATGGTGGGGTCAGATTGCAGGTGGCAGAGGATGATGTGGTGGTAAGTGAGGACCGGGGGACTCTGGCTTTATTTTTGTTGGGAGGAGAGGTTTTGAGAGCAAGAGATGTGGTTGAGGGCATTATGAATCACCAGAGCTGGGGCGGGAGGGGGGGGGGGGAGGTGGGGAGAGAGCGGATGTTGCAGTCCTTGAAGTAGAGGAGGATATCTGGGATGTCGGAGTGGAATGCTCCATCTTGGGAGTGGATGTATTGGAGGCGGAGGAATTGGGGAGCATGGGATCGCATTCTTGTGGTACGGTGGGTGAGAGGAGGTGTAGTCAAGGTAGCTATGGGAGTCAGTGAGTTTGAAATAGATGTCACTGCCGAGATGGTTACCAGCTGCCCCACTGAATTCATCTCCACTTACCTTGACTCCGTTTTTTCTCCCCTGGTCCAGCTACATTCAGGACACTACCTACACCCTCCACCTCCTGTCATTTCTCATTACAAGAAATCAAGATCAAAGGAAAGAGTAAGAACAGAATTAATAAACTGATGGAAGGAGAGGAAACCAATAATCCTCTCATTTAGATCCTTCATGATTTATACAAACACTTTCACCTTTCTCCCACACAAGAAACTTGCTACATGGAATACAACCAACCATGACAAGGAGATCTGGCCTACTACTTCACTTCAATCTACTCAAGCAAAGGCTTGAACTAATTCCCATTCACTCCTTATACACACAATTATTGGTAAAGCCAACAAGCTGCCTGTGTATCAAATCAAAACAGCACTCTCAGCCAGGATTGACAACAGGCATGATAAACTCTAATGAGTAGAAATGTGAAAGACCAGGACTATTTTCACTGGATCAAAGAAGCTGCAGAGTAATTAATTATTTTAAAATAATGAACGATTTTGATAGACTAGCTGGGGAGTCAGCATAGACGAGTTATCAAATTAAAATATTTTGAATGAGAGTAGGAAAACAGCATTATATAGATGTTCAGAGAACTTGAGAGATGGGTTGGGACAGGGAGTGGTTGAGGCATCAACTATAGTGACTACAAACAAGTAATTGGATAAGTATTTTGAAGTGCAGAGCTAAAAGAGAGGCAGTGAGAGAGTTTTGGATTTCACTGTTTTACAGCTGTGTCGGCAGCATGGATCAAATATTTGTGCTGTAGATTTTTGTGGACCATACAAAAATCAAAAGCAGCTGGCAAACACGTCAGCTAGATCAGCAAAAGATAAATGAAATTGATTAAGCCTTTTAAATTCAATGCAGTGCAGTCAAATCATTAGAAAGCTTACCTCCAGCAATAATTACAGACCAAGCATGATATTTGTTACACCTCACACCATGTAGATAGTTCATGTTTCTTTACTATATTCTGTCATTAAGCATCCCAGTTAATATGTACATAATTTTTAACATATTATTTCTGCTATTAAGCTCAGCCAAGACAAGTTACTTTCAACTCAGCAGCATTTACCTCATACCTGCTGGATATGAAGGGGGATCCTTTCTCACATATTGAGAGCGATTTCTGGATTTTGGTTTCTGTGCTTTGGTATTGACTTTAAAGGATTTTCTTTTTTTATCCTGTTTATTTGTTACTGTAAATAAAAAGTACCATAAATTGAAACAGTAATATGTATCCAAGCACATTATTCTAGACTAAAAGAAAGGTACATGTTACCTACCATACACAGAAGTATATGCCATTATGGGTGGCACGGTGGCTTAGTAGTTAGCACTGCTGCCTCACAGCGCCAGGGACGTGCGTTCAATTCCAGCCTCAGGTGACTGACTGTGTGGAGTCTGCACGTTCTCACTTTATGTATGGGTTTCCTTCAGGTGCTCTAAGTTTTTTTCCATAGTCCAAAGACGTGCAGGTTTAGGTGGATTGGCCATGCTGAATTATCCATCAGTCCAGGGATGAGCAGATTAGGTGGATTAGCCATGGGAAATGCAGAGTCACAGGAATACAGTAGCAGAGGGCTGGGGTGGGGGGGGGGGGGGGGGGGGGGGGGGGGGGGGTGGTGCTGGATCTGGGTGTCATGCTCTTTAGAACGTTGGTGTGGACTTGATGGGCTAAATGGCCAGCTTCTACACTGTAAGGATTCTCTGATTGTTAGACATAAGTGTAGCTTTAAAACCACAATGGAGTATCACTGGAGCACCACAAGATGTCAGACTATCTACTTATTCACAGAGTCAATCTAATTTGAGTTAATATAGCATTGGTTTGCAATGCAGAGAGACACCAACAGCATAGGTTCAACTCCCACAGCAGCTATAGTTAACACTAAGGCCTCGCCTTCTCAACCTCTCGCCATGGCTGAGAAATGACGACCCCTCAGGTTAAAACACCCACCTGTCATCTCTCTCTAATGAGATAGCAGCCCTATTGACCGGTAGGACTATGGTGACTTTACTTTTAATACTGCATTAATACAAAGGCCCAGACTTTGCATTAATATAAATGCCAAAAAGCAGTAGACCCAGCACTGGTACTTGCCGCACACCGCTGGTCACAGGCCACCAGTCTGAAAAGCAACCCTCCACTAACTTTGAGTCAGTTCTGTATCCAAATGGCTAGTTCTCCATGTATTCCATGGGATCTAACCTTACTAACCAGTCTGCCATGAGGAACTTTGTCAAATGCCTCATTGAAGTCCATATAGATCATGTCCACTGCTCTGTCTTCAACAATCCTTTTCATTACTTCTTCAAAAATCTCTCAGGTTAGTGAGACACAATTTCCCATGCACAATGCAGTGTTGACTATCCCTAAATCAGTCCTTGCCTTTCCAAATACATGAAAATCTTGTCCCTTAGGATCCCCTCCAACAACTTGCACACCACTGATGTCAGGCTCACCGATCTATAGTTCCCTGGCTTTTCCTTACGACATTTCTTAAATAATGGCACAACGTTAGCTGACCTCCAGTCTTCCAGGACCTCACCATTGATGATACAATTATGTTAGCAAATGGCCCAATCACTTCCCTAGCTTACCACAGAGTTCAAGAGTCCACCTGATCTGGTCCAAGGGATTTATCCACCTCAGAGTACAAACGGGACCTTGATCAGATCAGACAATGGGCCGAGAAGTGGCACATGGAGTTTAATTTAGATAATTACGAGGTGCTGCATTTTGGAAAGACAAATCAGGGCAGCACTTAGGCACTTAATGGTAAGGTCCTGGGGAGTGTTGCTGAACAAAGAGACCTTGGGGTGCAGGCTCATAGTTCCTTGAAGGTGGAGTCGCAGGTATACAGGCTAGTGAAGGAGGTCTTTGGTAGGTGTGCCCTTATTGGTCAGTGCATCGAGTACAGAAGTTAGGTGGTCATGTTGTGGCTGTACACGAGATTGGTTAGGTCACTTCTGGAATACTGTGTGCAATTCTGGTCTCCCTGCTATAGGAAGGATGTGTGAAACTTGAAAGGGTTCAGGAAAGATTGACAAGGATGTTGCCAGGGTTGGAGGATTTGAGCTACAGGTGGGGGGCTGAACAGGCTAGGACTATTTTCCCGGCTGTGTCAGAGGCTGAGGGCCGACTTTATAGAGGTTTATAAAATCATGAGGGGCATGGATAAAGTGAATAGCCAAGGTCTTTTTCCTGGGGTGAGGGAGTCCAAAACTAGAGGGCAAAGGTTTAAGGTGAGAGGAGAAAGCTTTAAGAGGGACCTAAGGGGCAAAGTTTTCTCACAGAAGGTGGTACATATATGGAATGAGCTGCCAGAGGAAGTGGTGGAAGCTGGTACAATTACAACATTTAAAAGGCATCTGGATTAGTTTATGCATAGGAAGGGTTTACAGGGATATGGGCCAAATGCTGGCAAATGGGACAAGATTAATTCAGGATATCTGGTTGGCATGGACGATTTGGACCAAAAAGTGCTCCCATGCTGTACAGTTCTATGACTCTAATAATGGTGAGGTTAACAATGCTTATTGCTGTTTTGAAGTACATTGGACAACAACTTCAAGAGGATGCACACATGCAGGATTGAACTCGACAGGGAAATCTGAAGCTTTGGACTAAGATGCCGTGATCGCCGTCAACATCTCACCAATAGACTCAGCAGTGAAATTGATTCAAAGTTATGAAGTTGTACTTACCCAACAGTTACATAATAAATATACCAAAAAGATTTGGAGCTTCTATACTCAGATTAAATGAACTTCTAAGGGCATGATCAGTCATAATTTCTGACAATCTCTTTGGTTCTGAAAATGTATTTTTAACAAGTGTGGAATCGTATTTCAACAGAATCAGAATACAGAATTTTTTCAAAATCCTTCTATTTCCATGCAATATATCTTTCCCAACCTTTACTTAAATTTCTGTCCATGATTTAAATCTAATTTATAACTCCTGACCTAGACTCTACATGGCTCAGCAAGGGTTCTCCAACCTGACTGGTGTGTGGCTGACCAATACAAACAACAGCAAAGCTCATCAACCAGAAATCCCCTGTAGATGGTGCCCCTAATGAAAGCAACTCTACTTTCGAAAGCCCAGAAACAATGTGGGCAATTAGTGCAGTGAACTGCAAGTACTGTTCCTTCACTATTGAATGCAAAATTCAGGCCTAGCTTAAGTGTGGTTAGAGTACTCGAGCCATTTGGAGCAGGGGTCAGAGACATAATTCAGTCTCCATTTTGAAGTCAAATATATGAATTGTATTCTTGCATTTATTTCCAAAACATTATTTTGTTGGCATATACTTCTGTCATGTGTGTTCTAACATTTTTGTATCAAATGTTTCATCTCTACATTGCAGATTGTAAGTGCCACTGATAAATATTTCCAAGCACAGATGTGATGGGTTTAAAGATGATACCAGAGATAACAAGGTGTAGAGCTGGATGAACACAGCAGGCCAAGCAGCATCAGAGGAGCAGGAAAGCTGACGTTTCAGGCCTAGACCCTTCTTCAGAAATAGGGGAGGGGAAGGGGGTTCTGAAATAAATAGGGAGAGAGGAGGAGGCGGATAGAAGATGGATAAAGGAGAAGATAAGTGGAGAGGAGACAGACAGGTCAAAGAGGCGGGGATGGAGCCAGTAAAGGTGAGTGTAGGTGGGGAGTTAGGAAGGGTATAGGTCAGTCCAGGGAGGAAGGACAGGATGAGGTTAGTAGGTAGGAGATGGAGGTGGGGCTTGAGGTGGGAGGGGGGGATAGGTGGAAGGAAGAACAGGTTAGGGAGGCGGGGACAAGCTGGGCTGGTTTTGGGATGTGGTAGGGGGAGGGGAGATTTAGAAGCTTGTGAAGTCCACATTGATACCATTGGGCTGCAAGGTTCCCAAGCGAAATATGAGGTGCTGTTCCTGCAACCTTCGGGTGGCATCGTTGTGGCACTGCAGGAGGCCCAGGATGGACATGTCGTCTGAGGAATGGGAGGGGGAGTTGAAATGGTTCGCGACTGGGAGGTGCAGTTGTTTAGTGCGAACCGAGCGTAGGTGTTCCGCAAAGCGATCCCCAAGCCTCCGCCTGGTTTCCCAGATGTAGAGGCGGCCACAACGGGTACAGCGGATACAGTATACCACATTAGCAGATGTGCAGGTGAACATCTGCTTGATGTGGAAAGTCTTCTTGGGGCCTGGGATGGGGGCGAGGGGGGAGGTGTAGGGGCAGGTGTAGCACTTCCTGCGGTTGCAGGGAAAAGTGCCGGGTGTGGTGTGGCTGAAGGGGAGTGTGGAGCAGACAAGGGAGTCACGGAGAGAGTGGTCCCTACGGGAAGCAGATAAGGGTGGGGAGGGAAAAATGTCTTTGGTGGTGGGGTCGGATTGCAGATGGCGGAAGTGTCGGAGGATGACACGTTGGATCTGGAGGTTGGTGGGGTGGTACGCGAGGACGAGGGGAATTCTGTTTTGGTTGTTATTGCAGGGAGGGGGTGTGAGGGATGAATTGCGGGAAATGCAGGAGACACGGTCGAGGGCGTTCTCAACCACTGT